AGGGATTTTTTGCAAAATCAATTTTTTACAGCTTCATTCAGCGTGGTTATCTTCACTCATCAACAATATCAGTAGACGTTTATACACTTCCCAGCGAAATGGAGTGGGCATGGGCTTAGCGTACTAGTCATGGCGTTGTTCATGGGGGCATTCAATACAAGTGTTGTCCTTTGGACTGATCAGAATCAGTTGCACTGTCAGAAGGCTGAGGCGCCCCTCCAGAAGTGCAGCTGTCGCCATGTTCGGAGTGGAGTATACGCGCACTGTGGTATGAAGATGTACCAGCCCTCTGCGCTGCTTTGATCGCGTCCTTTTCCCGAGGTTTTTGCATTTTTTGGTATTTTCGATTTTTTGATCTTTCCAGAGACAGTGGCCGCGACTGCTTTTCGCATGTCCTAGAGCTCAGAATCATTAGATCTCTGGTGGTAAGCGGAACACTGATGGAGAAAAAACACAGTTTCGATAGTGCCCTTAATGGGAGTCATCAAGCTCCGAGTTACATGAGCGTATGGAGTGAGAACGAGTGTAGAAAACAGAAGCGAGAATATACAAGCGATCGAAAACTCCCATATGATAAAGGACGGTCCAAATTTCGAAGGTGAAGTCAGGTTATATCGTCGTTGAGCCGCTCTGCTTTTATCTAGCTCTTGTTAGTCGCGAAATTGGGGCATCCTCCCTGATTGCGAACTCCACCGTCATGGACTCCGAAGGGCTCCTGCATCATGACCATTCGCAAGCGGGGCCTGTCTCTAGGCTCCGCCCACTTCGCTCCGCCCACTTTTGTATTGTCCCAGCTTAACAGGTTAGATCCTCGCTCATAGCCCGTAATAAACCAGACACGGCTTTGGCATGAAATGACGTAACTATACTTACTCGTAACTAGCTATGTAACCCTGGTACGCGTTTGTATTGATTCTGTGGGGAAGCATTTCAGCGTCAAGTTGGCGCTTACTGGCCAGATGGCAAAAGCTCCAGAAACAAGTGCCAATGTAATCAGGGCTCTGAATAATCCCTGTAGACGAAGTTCCTGTAAAAATGAGTTGCTTATCGTTAGAGTAGTAAGTGTTAGATGTAGAACTTGGCTTTTCCGAGTCAAAATATTATATCTCATTGACAAACAGCATTTTTTCGTGCTTTTCTTGCTGGACATTTGAAGACAGTTGGCAGGAAGAGTTGGTGCTCGGCCTTAATGCGTAAGGCGCTATATAGTGGGGAAATGACGAAAGAGTGGAGTGAACGGTTGAAATCCTACGAAGAAAAGAGCCTCCGTTCTTAATGTGTTAGGAAACAATTTTGGACGAGTTTCCCATAGGCATATTGTCAATAACCGCTACCCAAGGTACGGTCTGCATCATGTGTACCATATATCCTACAGCCCTGCTGCCGCTTTATAACAACCCCTTCGCTTTATAACTTGCTTAGCTAATGAGTCGATTAGAGCGTCAGGAACAGTCGTCTATTTGTGGGCGGGCGGGCGTTCGGGTCGGAATATTGTGGCTTGATAGGGCCCTTATTAAGGGCACCCCCCTTGGAAAAGGCAAACAAAATTAAAATGGGCGCCCAGCGCCTGCTCATGGCCGCGGAATTCGTTCTGCCCAGGCGTATTCAATCTTACTTGTCCTGGTGGGATTTATCGTGCCAACTGCCTCTACTATCAAAAATAACGCAGGAAACAGAAAACATCCAGAAAAATAAAACATCAACAATCCAAAAAGTGGCGCAGAAAAATCGTGCGCCACCGGCGGCTCATATTTTCTCAAAGAAGCACGTGCATGTGAAACACACCGATGGCTCATACTGCTGCCAATGTGCTAGGTTGTTTTCGAGCTGGGCCTTTTTTCGCGGGAGGTTATCCCAGGCGTCAGACTTTTTCTTGTAAAGCCATTGTGATCCTGGTGTCTAGGTGAAGTTGCTGAAGTGATTGTTTTAGGTGCTAAACGATGGCAAGTACGAAAGCTTTCTCACTTAGGTTTATACGGGTTGAAAGTGAAATGAGCCTTCGGCCATATATATGCTGTCCCTGCTCAAAACGAAAAATTTCAGTCGTACCCCGTGTACATTTCAATTTTGTGTGATCTGTCAAAAGGACGTACACTCGTCAAAACTTCCATGCCATATCCGACAATGCCATGTTGCTAAGCCGATGTTTCAATGTCCTGCGTGTGACTTCACATCGACTTACTCAAAGAACAACGTCAAAAGCCATATGGTCTCACTTCATGGACTTGCAGTAAGTTTTTTTTTTTCTAGAAGTGAATACTTTTCATAAAGAAACAAGCTGAAAGCACAGAAGGAAAAGAAAAGATAGTCTTTTCCGTTCATCTTCCTTTGTGGGATGCGGCATGCATGCTACTTCCATTCAGTATCGTAGTGGCTCATTGAGTGCGATGTGGCCTATACAATGACTTGTGGGGGCCAGCCGATGTACAAGTCAGTGTTCTTAATCCTTCCTAGACAGAAGATCGACGGTCGGCAACTACACCATCTCCGCTTTGCTGACGACATCGTTTTGATAACACCAAACATCGAGCAAGCGGAACGAATGCTGGCTGATTCGACTGCGCGTGTGGAAAAATCGGTCTACGGCTGAATCTAACGAAGACGATGTTCATGAGAAACGGATTGGTTTCTGATGCCCCATTCACGCTCAACGGAACGAATATCTCCGAATGCTCCAGCCATTTTTAATGAGGGTGGCGCTTCCCAAAATCATCGATTAGCAGAGCGCTGTTCCAGTTATTTCCCAAGAAACTTACAAAAATCTTAGCGGCAGTGCCGCATCTTACGGACCGAATAATCAACATTTACAATTCTAAACAGTTATGAGCAGGAAGCACAGCGCGTCTTGAGAAGCTTGCCGAGAACTGACAGAAGAACATTTTTACTGGGATCGCGCCTTTTCCGTCTCAAGAGGAAAAAGCTGTTCGTGGGCTGTTCACGAATTGCACTTTCTCAAGAAAATTCCCTTTCAGTTTGCCCACTGGCAGAGGAACGCCCCGAGCATTATGACCTGCGGAAAGAATTTTGGAATTCAATTTCTATTTATTAATTCTAGCGAAATTCGTAAATATTCCACATATGTTGCTTGTGAAAAACTTTTTGCTTTCGTTCTTTTAGAATTGCATCGAAAAATCGTGAATCCAATTCCGGAATACTAAGTTCTCAATAACAAGCCGAAAAGTTTCCAAAAATGTGGAGTTAAATTCTGGCTAATTTCGCAGAGGAAGCGCGTCTAGGAGATCAACAAAGAATATGACTGAATTCTGGGTTCAATAATTTATACCATTTTCACTTAAATTCACGACTTTTCAAACCAAATTCACAACTTTTCAAATCAAAACCACGACATTCAAAACCGAATCAAAAACTTGGTTAGCCATGCCTCACTAAACTCTAGCGCGAGCTCCGCTCCTACATCACGCCCATATTTCGGCAGGGCCTCGATTTTACAAATTTATTTTATGACTTTCGCTTTTGCGACTTTCTTGCACTTCTGTTATTTCGCTCACTAGCTGAAACATAGGCACATGGCCAACTCCGCCAGCATTTCTAAAGAATTCGTGGCAAATTTCGATTTTCATAGTTCTTTCAACGTCGTTGTTTTCACTCCACACTTTACACAACGAACATACTGGTAGACGCGCATCTATGCACCGGCACATTAGGCTCCACCCCCTCAGCCACGCCCAATTCTGCGGATTTTCGCGAAATTCCAATATTTTTTCAAAATTTTTGCGTTTCTGGATTGCCACGTGGAGCTCCACCCATACCAGAGGTGACACCCACTTCGTAGAAGCTCGCTCGCTCTTGAAAAACGGTGCAAGTCGGCACAATAGAAGCTCAACTTGCCTGCTAGGGTCTCGCCCGTCACTCGGGAGCAACCACGCAAAGTCTGTTCAAAGTAAAAATAGTACAGTGGAGTGCTCACGCGACAGGTGGGGCGGTCCTACGACCATGCTGGCGAGCGGTCCGACGGTTGCGTGTCGGTGGAAAAGCGGAGGCCTCGGGCCTCACCATCACTGTCTCTGCGCTCTCTAACATTGGCTCTGCGCACTTGAACACACGCCGCTGCACTACCTACTCACTCTTCCGTCTGGACCCTCGCCAATCGATGATTGCTAATGCTACCAATCAGCTGATTTCTGCGGTATTTTTTTGTTGTTTTTCTGCCATATTCAGCTTGTAGAAGCTGAAGTTATTCTTTCGACTTCAATTCTCAGAGGTGAGTATGTTTACTGTAATTAGATTACATTTTGCATGAATTCAGCATGGAATTCCCTTGAAGGACCTGTTTCTTCCTTTTTTCGCAATTTTTTTGAACTTTCAATGAATGTCTTCAACTTCGATGCTACTGACTAAATTAAATCTCTGATGCTATCAGTCAGCTGGTTTCTGCGGTACCTTTTGCTGTATTTCTGTTGTTGTTTTCAGCTTGTAAAAAAGTCTTTTCTCGACTTCGCATTCGGGGAAAATGAGTACAGGCCTGCTTGAAAAGATTGCATTTTCGCATGATTTTTACGGTGATTTCTCCTAGAAAATTGATTTCTTCTTCCTATTTTCGCCATTCTTTGAACTTCTCTCGAATGTCGTCGTTCATCTTCGATGTTATCGACTAAAATCATGCAAAATGAAATCGAGCTTGAGCAAAACATACTTACCTTTTCTTATTTGAGCCGGGTGAATAATAATTTCAGATTTTAAAGGCCGAAAACAACAGAAATCAGTCGAATGGGCGTATCAGCCATTATCAATCGCAGCGACGGCTTGCCAACGTGGATGTAGGACCGCCCCACCGTCGGATGAGAAATCCACTGTAGTGTACCAAGCTGTGACCTAATGGCCATGATCTTTAGATAACTCTGACTCGGAGTTAACTCCTATCTTGAGAAGCTTACTGCATGTCGTAGAGTGTAATACATGCAAGTAGCGTCATAATAATCTAGTGGCTTAACAGTCCAAGAAAATTGCTTCTGGTTAGCTGAGATATTCCTGGAACCATCTTATTCACGGTAGGACGCCCCATGTAGGACAGGATTCATTAACTCGTGGCATTGTGGACACCAACGAACACACACCACTTCGCACTGGTACAGTTTGTGCCACTTCAAAAAAAAGTGATTGTAAAATATGAGACACTGACCTGCGCAACCGCCTGTTGAGCTTGGAGAAATTGCAGCAGAGCGGCGGCATCTGACATACCAAACAACGGATTTGCCATGGGAGGAAGTTCCTAAACAATGTTAAACGATCCTCTTCAAACAATATTTCGGTATTTTGGGGGAATCGCATCTTTTTGTGATGAAGCACCCACAGTGTTCATACTTTTCAATTCCAAACCCTCTTCCACCATGTTTCCATGGGCTCAAAACTCTTCACCTTCCTATGAGTAATCAATCTCTACTCTTACAAGACTGAGCTGCTAAGCCGGCATTTGCAGGGAACCGGTAAGCTAAGAGCTTAGGAAGGATGCAGGAGGTTTTCAACAGACACCCACTCGTGAAATTGTATCTTGTTAGGAAAAAAAGAACAGAGATCAAGGTGCAGGATGGTGGGTCGTGGTCGAATCCGAGAGCAAAGTCTGTACTCACTCCACGCCAAAGAGGAAGCGGATCTGAACCCAATGTCTTGCTGTCTTTTGAAACTGTTTTGCAGCTGCTTCAACCTAGCCTAGAAGTGCTTAACGTACAGAAAAGGAGAGTGCCGAGGATACCGTTGAACTTAAGAGTGATGAGCACATGTGCGTACTTACTCGATGTGATAGGGCTATCTTTCCTAGATATAATAGCAATAGTGCTGCAGGCAACAGGGTTTCTTCTGCACCCCGGTCGTTGAGCCATTGGATTTCGCCTGGGAAATCCGAGCTACAGCGACGCTCCGAAGTTTCAACTGGCGTTTTGCGCGGTACATTTGCATGGAAAAGCAACTGATTTGAAATTAAATGTTAGGGCTCGCGGGAGGGAGGGGTCGCTCGAGTGATGGGGAAGTTGTAACTGGTCCCAAGAAAGTTTTCCGCTAGTTGACATCTGACAACTTTTCCCGTTTCACATAGGCTACATATACGTCGCCCTCCTCTCTCCTTACTCGATGGCAACTACATATCAGGGCACAGCGTTCGATGGGGATTCCCTATGGGGGGGGGTCGTATTTGGGCTGGGAAAAATTTATTTTTATAGTTGATTTTTCTCGCTTTGCGGACGTTTTGGAGGGGGGGTCGTATTTGGTCGTTGTTGGGAGGGGGGTCGTAAAAGCTCGACCAAAATCCCCATCGAATGCTGTGCCCTGCTACATATACGTCGCCCTCCTCTCTTCTTACTCGACGGCAAAAGTCCAGGAAAACCGGAGGGTTAGAGTGGTAGGAAGTAGGGAGAAGTTAGTAAAATTGTAGGAGGATGGGGGGGGGGTGGTTGTTCCAGAGGGAAATTGGGGGATTGGGGGCGTATTCTGCGGAGGCTCCCCCCAGCAAGAGGACAGGCCCTGATTACGGTATACTACGGTATGTCAACCGATCTGGAAACGCCAACTAAACGACGCCAAAACGTGGATCTCCTTATCTCCAGCTGTGCACCCACAACTGCCAAAAGGATTGAGAACTGCGAAGAGCAGTTTGAGTTCCATTAAGTTTTGATTTGAATTACTGAGTTGCAAGCCCAAGGTCACGAAAAAGATCAAAAGCTATGAGTTTTTGGTGGAGTTCGGCTTGGTGGGGGCACTAGTTGGTATTCAACTGGGCTTGGAGTGATTTCGCAGCTTCTCGAAGTTCACAGGTCTGACCGAAGTGAAACTGAAAGTGCAAAGTGCCCCTTCATAGACGAACAGCGTCACGTTTTTATGTGATTAATTGATTGAAAATATCCAAAGCCCTTTCAACATCAATCAGTCATGAAAAATGGTGCATAAGGTGTATGTTCAGGACGCTGACATAGGAAAGAAAAGAGAAAAGAGTAAGTTCAAGCCGAATGGAAGCCAAATGCATGGCGCAAGGGAAGAAATTGATCTACCGCATATTTTGGCATTGTGAAAATAGCAAAAAATATCCAACGAAAACATAACAAAATACGCACGAAATGAGTAATTTCAGTGTTGTTCGCTGTAGATGACGGGGCGTGCCATTGTAGATTGGTTTGGCGCGTCGCCAACCCGTTTTCCACCAGCTGTTGTCACTTACCCGCTTCAACAGCCTGTGCAGAATGGGTTGAGAGCCATGCTCACTGATACACCTCATCATCCGCAGCGACCAAGACTGTATCAACAGCGGATGCAAGCAGATGAGTCGATAACAGCCAAAACGTGAAAAAGCTCAGATTTCTATAAAAACAGGATGCTTTTGGAGATTTCACGGATTTCGTGCTTATCAGTTAAGTGTGTATCACACTTGAGATTTCTATGACGTGGGCAATCGTCTAAAATGGAGATTGTACAACTAAGTGATTAACGAGAATAATAGAGAAGATGGTCAGCAAAGAACGAGACAATTCCCTTTTGTTCAGCCCTGGGATGCCTGGCATATTCCCCTTAGTCTACCTTCGTAAAGGAACGAAGCGGGACGTGGGCATGGGGGTGTTAGGCGTTAATCGGTGATTGTACTATTTATCAGAGGCAAGAAAGCAGAGTAGACTTTTAGAAATGGAGATTTACCAAGACGCCTATTGATAAGGGAAGCACATGAGGAGAAAATGTAATCATTGCAGCTTTACAGACGGTACCTTATGACGACTCCTAAAACTGCCTTTGACAGATCCCCTTATACGACGACTGTTTTTTGTCGCCCAAGGTTATGGCTCTAGAGGTGAATTGCAGTTTGAGCAGACGTTTTTTGAGACAGACGGGGAGGAAGAGAAAGAGAAGGTTCCTCACATTATTGAGATTACCTCTTCCGAAATTTTGGGTGCAAGAAACGTATGCCAGGGGCATTCGGCAACGGAGGGGGGGCATTTTGCGCTTTGGCTACTTGCATCGACGTGCCGACCCATCTGGAAAGGTATTTCATGAGCTTACAAGAGTTGACAGGTTTTAATATGGTGTAGACGAAACTTCTAGAGCTTCACAAGAGTTTACAGGTTTCACCAGAGTGAGACTTGTAAACCGGAACTAAAGAAGCAACGAAAGTGCAAAATGCCCCTTCCTCGTCGCCGTACTGCGCCGCATTACATGCGGAAAGAAGCTCATAAGCGCCCTTTCATGGACCTCAACGACTTCAGATTGGTGCCGTGAGCGCAGGCCTATAGGCTGGCAACTGCAAGGGCAGAGGAATCCCTTGCTGGATCCTGAAATGAATGTCCTGATTCATTTCCTATCAGTTTCACTGCAGCTATCGTGACTCAAACAACGAATTTCTGATCACCGGGCCATGACTCAGACGCTATGATCGGCATTAAACAGTCAGCTTCGAAAAGTTTTAGGGAGCGAGCGGTCATTGAACTGTCACAATGTAATGTGGAAGTTTATTCGAGATACGGTATAATTCAAGAGCACGTTCCGTGACAAAGGAGACGGCTACCCTTTTGAATAGCCCACCAGTATACGATAAGACTCCCGGGACTCTTAGCACGCCTTCCCAACTGCGCTTTCCCGGCTTATTCTAGCAAGCGAATTCTAGAACCTGAATAGCTTACGGTAATACGCCGCGTGTGGCGTCACGTGCAACCAATACCTAATTGATTTAACGTGGAAGGGCTACAGTACACCGAGTTAACTACACAAGGAAACCCTGCTAGACTGCGCGTCGCTGCACATGGACCTCTCAACCAGAATCTTTTGTTTTCAGAGGTGGTGCAGTCACGACAAAACCGCAGCATAACTCATTAGCATTATTAGTGAAAGTTGAGAACGATAGGGCAATGACTGAGAAAGTCTCGCAAAAAAGATCAAAAGGAACTTCTGGTGGTGTAAACAAACAAATAAGATAGAACCTTTCGGGACTTTTTCTGGGGGAAATACCGGAGTACTGGCTGACAACGACACGTGTCACGTATTATACTGACTGAAACAGGAACGAGATATCTGGGTAGCGCTCTACCCATGAATGCAACCCACTCCGGTCTACTCAAAGAGTGCAGGTACTATTACAGGAAATCCTTTAGACCAGGAGCACTAAAACTGAAACAAGAGCGAGAACAAAGGCTGGAGGCATGATAGGTGGAAAAATTCGAGACTGAGAATTAATATGTAACAGAAAAAAACGCTCAAAAACAGCAGTTACAGCAAGCGTATGGGAGTTTGCCCGATCAAACAGTTTTTCAGAACTATCGCAAGAATGTTGAGTTATGAGCAAAAGTTTCAACCCCGAGCGAAACTCAAACTCGACCTCACGCTTGTGTGTTACCCATTTCTCAACGTTTGTCTATAATCCACTTTTAATTACCTCCTAGACACGAAAGGCGGAGTGAACCGCAGCTTTTATAACAAAACAAACTTTTCAAAATTTTGTTCCCTAGGTTCCTGCGCCCCAAAAATTTGAAATACTGCCAATGAAACGTTCGGTTTACTTGCCAGTTTCTTCTGCGATTTTGGGGGTACTCCTCTGATGAACTCCCCTTTTTAATGGTATCGTGTGGATGTACATATATTCCATATCTCCAAAATGTAGGGGGGTGGTGACTGCGTATTTCATTCAAACGTGGCGGCGCTACGCTTTTGGAGGATATGGCTTTTGAGGACACTTGTAGTCACGCCTTTGTCCGCAAGAAAGGATAACTATATATTCTCCAAGTATGGCATAGCAATATAAGCAGAATCGATAATTATATAGTTTTTCGAGTGAGCAGATTCCACAAAACCGCGTCCATGACATGCTCAAATGAAGTCTGCAGCCACGCCCTCTGTATTTCTAAGATATGGGCTGTAGCATTAGCCTACTTGGCCATGCTGATTAATCGCGGTTACGTGATTCAGTCATAATTTAGCTTATAGTAGCTTTGATTCCAGGCAGCCTAACATGCTACAAACTCGGCAGGAGCGAAGGTTGGTCCAGCAATTCCATCTTAATCAAGCTGAGCGCTTCATAGGGCTTGGAATGTGACCCTTCTTCGCTTCCCCTGGGATTTAATGAGGTCTTAAATTCGTCTGTAGAGGACGGTAAACCAACATATTCATTCACATGACGTTACGATCCTGAATCGAATCGGTGCTAGCGACTGAAGAGCCAGGATCGCTGGAATTTCAAAAATTTCTGTATTACAATGTACTATCCTTCAAAAAGTTTTGTATACTACAGCCCGCTTTCTGAAGGTGCACTAGATTCACGATGCGACGAATGGGGAGGCAAGACGAGCGAATGGCCGTACTTCAACAGGAACCTAATGGATTTGACGTAGAAGCGCTACAGTACACTCGAAATCCCTAAGATCGGGTAGGCGTGGCTGCGTACTTGATTTTAAAATGGCGGCGGCCCAGGTTTTCGTGAGATATTGTCATTTTGGAGCAGTCGTAATCATGTCTACATCTAACACAGAACAAGATAGCAGTTGTTTCAAATTGAAGTATCCCACGAGAAACCCGTCCTATGCCATGCTTAAAGCCACGCCTACTCCGTCTCAGGGATAACGAGTGTATGTCGAGTCAACTAGCTAACAGATACCCTGCAGTGTACTGAAATACTCGCCATAAGCTAAAGGTAAACCCGCTCAGGGTTTCAATTCCACTAATTTTGGTTCTTCAGTCCTAGCCCAAAATCAAAAGTGAAAAAAACCCACCGGCTTCACATGTGTGTCGGGGAACTCCTGTTTGACGGCGGCGTTTTGCTGACCGGCGAGCAGGATTGCGGCCAACTCCGTGGACGACAGTCCCGACACATCCGAACCGGACGTATTCGTAGGCGACGTGCTGCACTCGAGCGCATCCGAAGTGGGCGGAGCGGTCCGTGCAAGCCCTGGCAGGGTTCGAGGAGTGGGCGGAAGGACGGCTGGTGGTGTCGGAGCCGCTAGCCCATTAATATTCGCCAGCATTCTCCTGAAATCATACGTGATTGGCTGTGGATGGTTGTCAGATAAGCCATAAAGACGAGCATCACGCGAGACGCAATCGACGATAGAAGGAGAAACGAAGTTTCCAAAAAATCAAAAAGAAACAGTAGAGATTTAGAATAAGAGTGCCTACAACTTCAGCATAAGTATGCCTACAACAAGGCAAGCAGATGATGGAGGAGTTAATGGAGGGAATAGACAAATAAGAGACACAGATGAGTGGCTGTCTCTGTTCCCACTCTCTGGTGTACTGAAAGCATGGCTCCTTGTCAGAAACTTGTAAGGTCGCGGCAAAAGGCGCGTTACGTGCTTAGCCCAATGCGTTAGGGGTGAAAACTAGTTGGAAAAAACTCTTATGAGAAATCATGAACCAAATCCAAAAGGATAGATTAATGTCTATGTTTTACATTGAGTGACCAACGTATTCTAGACGGGCCAAAAGGTCATGACATGGGAAAAGGGGAAATATTCCGCAAGGAAAGAGCTTTTACTTACAAAAAAGTATACACGATATTTGCTGCATTTACGATTCCTGGCCCTTTGCAAATCAGGCCGCAAAGAAAGGCGAAAGAATAGAGGTATATTTGTTTTCTACTGGTTGTTAACAGAGTGAACAAGTGAAGGATACTGTAATCAACCTAAGCATAAAACCCAGCCATGGATGCAGGAGTGAAAACATAATGACATGCACATCTTCATGTCCACGTGACTGCGTGAAAATGGCTCTGCTTACAAGGCAGATGATTGCTGAAAATTCTTGAACGCAGAGAGGAGGGGGGGGTCGCACTTGATCTTGAAAAATTGTTTTAGTGCTTATTCTTACTATTAGGCGCTTTATATACCTTGATGGACTTTGGTGAGAGGGTTTTGCGCCTTGAAAGCATTTTTCTTGGCCGGGTGCCTTGTTTGCGCATACAAAGCAAAATATGCATCCTTTCATCAAGCCATGATGATAAAAGATTTTTTTCGGCGCTGATCACAGTGGAGGGCATTTAAAGACAGTTGGCACGATGACTTGCTCCGCCTAAAATGGTAGTAGGGCGCCATATAGTGGGGAAATGGCGAAAGAACAAAGTGAAACTGTCAAAATCCTGCGAAGGCCCAGGCCTCTAAAGGACTCCTTGGGCGGAACTGCGATAAACATCGCCCGCACAAAATTGTCGGGCTTTGAATGTACACCAACTTGTTTCAGTAAGTCGTTCTCTAATAGTCGAAGGCCTAACTCCATTAGGTGTTATTATTTTGCGTAAGGAATCCTTCGAATGCCCCCCCCCCCCTATCAGCTTCGATCATTCATGAACCAGGAAACAAAGACTACACACGCTGCATACATCCCGCTATTTAGATAGGATACAGAAGAAGCCTCTTAACTTCCGAGCCTCTTAAAAAGGCGTGTCATAAGACTTGCTTAGGAAAGATAGGACTGTTCAGAAAGTATATTGGATGACATGATAGATGGAAATGCTAATGAACGTCGAACAGGTTCAAACATCAGTTGATATGCCATCATAAAGTAAAGTCAAATGACAATCTATTCACATGAATAGCGCACCTTTGTAAGGCTAATTCAGAGCTTAGGTACAGTTTCCAGTACTGAAGGGAACAGCATAGATAGACGAAGCTTATCTACCATTACATCTTTCCCTTTGGTGCACATCTGTTGACCGGCAAGGAGGGTACACCAGTGGAGGAATCACAGTGGAAGTTCTGACCCGCCCCTCCGATAGACGTGGACTACGCGCTTGACACTGAAAGCGGAGAATTTTAGATGCCGGGCAGTTGAGCTGACCGGGAGGACACTGAAGGCTGAAGCTGTGATTGCGCTGGTGGATAGGCGGATCTATTCGGATTGTGCCCAATGGCGCACTTACAACGCCTCTTTTGCTTACAAAGGGCAATTCTAGCGCGAATATACACATCGGAAAAGGACACCGATGAACAGCTTTGCCCCCTCACTATTTTACTCGATTACTACCGTTTTCTCTGGCTTGACCGACTGGTTCTGAGCTCGCAGATGCTAAGCAATCTACTGAGCTCACAGAGGGCTCTTATTGCAGATGAGTGCAGCTGTTATCGCATTAACGAAGAAAATACCAAGTTGAGAACGTAGCGACTGCGCCGCAGTTTTCTTGCCAATCCAGGAGAAAACGTGACAGAGGCCTTCATATACAGGGAGCACATGCTGATGGGCAACACTGTCAGGCCCGATTTCAGCCAATAACACTCCATGGAAACGAGCCACTGTCAGGACCACAACTAAGTCGGTGGCCACGCCCCTTCAGGCGCGACATGCTGCCATGTCCACCCCTAGCGGTAGGATATGGTCTACACGCTCCATATCCCGGCGCTGGGGGTGGACATGGCAGCTGCCTGGTGGTGGAGTTTCGTAGGATGCATTATTTCCATTCGAGACAACTGTCATACAGTGTCCGAGAACACGACTGCTCCAAAGTAGAAATATTCCACAAAAAGCGTAGCTGTCGCCACGTTGAAACGAGGTGCAAAGGCATGCTTTCTCCATCTCTGAGATATGGAATGTGGCTACGTCTATGCTCTTTTCATAGAGATGAGTACCCCTTAAAGACAAAGCCCGCGACCACCAGGGATAACAGATTGGGGCGGGGGGGGGTCGCGTAAAGACTACAATGTTCTGAGTAACTCGATAGTGAAGAAAAAAGCAAAAAACATGCCAACTGCCCTGGATAGAACCCCATTCCAATCCCAGTTTGTACGTGCCCAGTCAACTCCATCTTCAACCGTACGCCCTCATCCTGATTCCTCGTTAAAAGCCCTTCGACCGTGTTCTTGCTTTCGTTTTTGTTGCTGTTGCTTTTGTTGCTTTCTCATCCTGCAACTTCGTTTTTCACTGGAAGGCGGGCCTCAAAGGCGGAGTCTGGAGGCGGATTCACTGGTAAAGGACGCGTCACTGAGCCTACATACAGGGGGGGGGTGCAAAAAAAAGTCATTTTGCCTCCAAGTGAGTGGGTACCGGAGTTGAGCGAGATCGTTGATTTCTCCGCCACTGTAGACCACCCTGTTGAGCTCCGCCCGAACCGAGTAATTGAGGGGGTTTAGTTCAGGACCCCCGCTTAAATACTCCATCTTTTCCAGGTACTCAACGTTCTTCCATTCCAAGTAGGCAAAGTTTTCCAACGCCCTTCGATTCCATGTGGTGTCACCCAATCCTGTAGCAGTACAAAGTTTCCAAGAAGGTACGGGCGACGACATGAAGATGGGATATTCTCCTCGAGTTGCTCGATGTAGCCACCGCGCACACCCTCAGTCTGGGGCCCACGAAGAAAATATCGGTTCATTCCAGGTACGGCCGGTCCACACCATCAACCCGCGCCTTGGTGAATGGGGTGAAGATGATGTCCTGGACCGTAGCGACGTTGCCGGAGCTGCTCGATGTTTGAGGTCTTGCAGATCAAGAGTACTGGTCTCCAGGTAGCTATCCATGGGTGATTCCATTCAAGAAGTTCCGCAGCTGTTTGGAGGCCACGTGAATTCCAAAGGCGTTCTCCACTCAGGCCGCGACTGGAGATGACTTCATATTTTGGTGTACATGAAGGTGAATGGCGGCAGCCGGCTCCTGCTTATAGAGGAAGATCTTGGGTATCTTCCGCCCTGGTACTCATATCCACTTCCTCTGTCTGGGCTGCGAAAACTTCGCTCATATGTGACTCGGCCGGAATGACTTTTTTTGCCCCCCCCCCTGTGTATTGCGCTATAGCGCCCCTCCCTTACAATTTTTTGCCGAAAACATTTACAAGGTTGTTCGTCACGGACCACACTACCCTCCCGACGCCATAATTTGAACTTCTACACCTGATCGCGGACCGTGCCTTTAATCATACATGACCTGCTGCCGCTCACAATCGCATTGCGAGCTGCGGAATCACAGAGCGTCTCCGCATTATTTCATAGGAAACAATACAACATTCCAGGCAGACCCGGCAAATGTTCTCGTAAGCCAGCGGACTTTTTCGCGAAAATAGTGGTACCGTCGGTAAGTTCGTTTCGACCGTAATGGTACTCGCTCGAGGGGTTCCTGACATTGTGTAGGACCTTCTAGAGTTAATGAGGCGTTTGGTGGGGTACATCGTAACTCACGTGAATGGAATATGTTCGGAAAACTGGAGACGATTCTGCCAAAAGGTTAGACCAAAATCACTGGCCATTTCAGCCAACAACCTCGCATGCTGTGGCAGAACAGACAAACTGGATATTTTCAGCTTCTCAGTCTGTTTTTTTTTGTAAAAGAACTGGTCACCTTGGATCAGAGACCATTTTTAATCTTTTCGTTTCGTGGAAGGAGTAAAAATACCACAACACGTCAACTAGTGGATAGAAAAAGAAAAACTATTGATATGCTGCATTTCAAAAATAGCAAAGCTCAGCTGGGAAGCTCAAAACTGCTCAGGAATAAGCGCGAAAAAGCATATTATGCGCTCGCTGATCGCATACGTAGAGTCATATGAACCACAATGTCTTCGTCATGGTTGCGCTTTTTTCTGCAATCTACGAATGAGGAAATTACCAGTGTGAAACAGCTGTACTTGAAGGCACAGCCCACGATCGCTTATATTTATCAAAGCCGTTCATAGGGAGGTAGCGTGAACTGCGCTAAACAGTTCTGTATAAGTTTCACGTCAGAAAGTTGTAAGGCAGCAGCGGTTGCTCAAGTGACTCCGCCTACGTTCATAGACGTCTTGCCTGCTGTCTCGCACGTTTGCATGCTCTCTCGCTGCTTTCTTTGGCCTCTCCCCCGATATCCATATCGTCTCTTCCTCTCTTGCTTTCAGAAGTGCGGCCTTATTAGGGGCGTTTTAGACGATTTCCTTCTCCTTTTTTCCTCACGAGCAAGCCAAGTAACGCGTACACTTTGGTTTCCGACCCCGCTCCCGACTAACTCATCGCTGGTTCATTGCAAGGTCTATTTTTGAAAGAGTTCCATTATTGGGGCCGGCGTTGACACACTA